AATAGAGCCTTGGCAGCCTAAAACTTCCAGAACCCAGTCACTGCCATACTCGGCAGACCTTCACAGGCCCGCGACAAACCCCTCATGCCTGACAATGAATCTGCTGAAAAACCCAGGTATGCAGGGTTTGCGACCGAAATTTCCAGGGTCACCTGAAGTCAGGAATGGGTGCCCTCCCCCCTTCTCCCTGTGCATCTGGGTGCCTGGCAGTTACACCCACGAACTGTCTCTGGGTGCCATATAAGCTTATTAGCAGCCGTGATCCAGAGAATCACAAATAAATCTCAGAAAATTGCAAAATGCTGAAGAGATACCTCATGACCCCCAAATGACCATCCAGTTAAAAATTTAACCTCAGGGACCAGAGTGAAAGTACAGCAGGTAGGGCATCTGCCTTGCATGGCCGACCTGGGTTCAATCCCTGGCATCCCATATGGTCCCCCAAGCACCACCAGGAGTAATTCCTGAGTGCAGAGCCATGAGTAACGCCTGAGTATCGCTGGGTGTGACCCAAAAAGAAAAGAAATTAACTCCAGCTCTATCACCCTATTTAAAAATAGTAGAATTCCTGGAGCACATGAACACTTTATGCCTCAATGTACTACCAAGAGCAGTATACCATATTTGATGGGATGCAAAGTAGAAGAAATTCAATCTTGATCAAATATATCTATCTGTCTATATATACACACATACATAAATATGTAGATGTATATTTTATCAAGATTGGTTTTCTTCTAATATATATGTATATATATACATATATATTAGCACACAAGGCTCAATCTGTAATATCATATTATTGATACAGAGGATTAATGGCTCCAAGGTGAAAGACAACAATTCTCACACAATTTTCTCTAAAGGAAGTTTTATGGGTCATTTTTAGTGGATTTTCATAACAAGCAATACAAAATTATTTAGCATTTGCCTTTGAGGCAGGCTTGGGTGGTGGTGATAAAATTTGAAATAATGGTGGTGGGAAGGTGTAATGGTGGTGGAACTGGTGTTGAAATATTGAATGTAATGAATTATTATGTACAACTTTATAAAAGAAAAATTTAAAAAAGGAAAAATAAAGCATGGTGAATAAATAAAAATCAAGTTACAGACAGAGACTAATAAAAATTAGTTCAGCATTTTTTCATTCTATTTATAAATTAATTACCATCTTGAATTAAAGAAAATTATTTACTTATAAATATACAAATAAAGAAGACAAGTGAGAAAAAGCTATATATTACAACACTTTTATCTTAAAAATAATGTGAAAAATCAGGGGGAAAATTACAGTATTCACTACTCTAAAGTAACTAAATCACGATTTGACATAAATTAAATGGCAAAAAGACGCATGACTGAATCTTAATGATATTCCTATATAAATGAGATAGACAATTTATTTTAAGAAGAATGTGGAAAAATTATCAACGTTTAAAAACAATCAATTCAAAAAGAGAATATAAAAATAGTTAAAAATAAGAAGTAAAACTGTACTGGTACTCAGATAAAAATACACTTAAATAATATGATATTCTTTATACCTGCAAAAATAAAGAGTTAAAAAGATATGGTATTTCCTTACTCCACTTCACATTTCTTGCTCCTTTATCAAAGATTAGATGATCATATGTTTGAGGGGAGATGTCAGTATATTCAACCCTGTTCCATTGGTCTGTAGCTCTGACTTTGTTCCAGTACCATGCTGTTTTGATTATTACTGCTTTGTAGTAGAGTTTGAAGTTAGGGAGGTTGATTCCTCCCATTTTCTTTTTCCCAAGAATTGCTTTAGCTATTTGTGGGAGCTTATTGTTCCATATGAACTTCAGGAGTGTTTGCTCCATTTCTTTGAAGAATGTCATGGTTATCCTTATAGGGATCATATTGAGTTTGTATAATGCTTTGGGAAGTATTGCCATTTTGAAAATGTTAAGTTTCCCTGCCCATGAGCAGGAGATAACTTTCCATTTTCTCATGTCCTCTTTTATTTCCTGAAGTAGCGTTTTGTAGTTTTCTTTGTAAAGGTCCTTTACTTCGTTAGTTAAGCTGATTCCTAGGTACATGATTTTCTGGGGCACAATTTTGAACGGGATTGTTTTTTTCATTGCTTTCTTCTCTCTCACTGTTTTGCGTATAGGAAAGCCATGGACTTCTGGGTAATGATTTTATAGCCTGTAATTTTACTATAAAAGTTTATTGTTTCTAGGAGTTTCATGGTAGAGTATTTAGGGCTCTCTAAGTATAATATATCACCTGCGAATAGTGAGAGCTTGATTTCTTCCTTTCCTACCTGGATGCCCTTAATATCTTTTTCTTGCCTAATCGGTACTGCAAATACTTCCAGTACTATATTGAACAGCAGTGGAGAGAGTGGTTATCCTTGTCTCATTCCTGATTTAGAGAGAAGGCTCTTAGTTTTTCCCCATTGAGGATGATACTTACTCTAGGCTTGTGGTAGACGGCTTTAACTATATTGAGGAAAGTCCCCTCTATCCCCATTTTGGCTAGGGTTTTCATTATAAACGGGGCTCGATCTTGTCAAATGCTTTCTCTGCATCTATTGATATGATAATATGCTTTTTATCTTTTCTTTTGTTGATATGATGGAATATATTGATTGATTTCCGAATGTTAAAGCATCCTTGCATCCCTGAGATGACTAGTTAAAGAAACTTTGGTACATCTACACAATGAAGTACTATTTAGCTGTTAAAAAAGATCAAGTCCTGAAATTTACATACAAGTGGCACTAAATGGACAGTATCATTCTAAGTGAAGTGATTCAGAAAGAGAGGGACAGACATAAAAAGATTGCATTCATCTGGGGGACATAAAGTAACAAAATAGGAGATTAATACCCAAGAATAGCCGAGGTAAATACCAGGAGGATTATTCCATGGCTGAGAGGCCAGCCGGGCATACTAGGGTAAAAGGCAGCTCAGATAGAGAAGGGAACAACAAATAAAGGGTGTTTGGAGGATCCTCCCAGGATTGGAGATGCATGTTGAATGTAGACTATAGACCAAACATGATTGCCACTGAATGCCTCTTTTTCAGACCACAACACCAAAAAGTAGAGAGAGAACAAAAGCGAATGCCCTGCCACAGAGGCAGGGTGGGATGGGGAGGATGGGAGTGGGAGAGATACTGGGATCCATGGTGATGGAAAATGGGCACTGGTGGAGGGATGGGTATTTGATCATTGTATAATCGAAACCCAAGCACAAAAATTTGTAAGTCTACAACTGTACCTCATGGTGTTTCACCAATAAAACTTAAAAAAATAAGATATGGTATTTAATTCTGAAAACAGTGAAATTTGCATATAGGATTACTGAAAAAACTTTATACATATGCACATACTTCTTTGTATTTATAACACTGTAGTGCTGTCCTCCCGTTGTTCATTGATTTGCTCTAGCAACCAGTAACGTCTCCATTGTGAGACTTGTTGTTACTGTTTTTGGCATATCAAATAGGTCACTGGGAGCTTGCCAGGCTCTGTCATGTGGGCGGGATACTCTCGGTAGCTTGCTGGGCTCTCCAAAAGTGACAGAGGAATTGAACCCGGGTTGGCTGCTTGCAAGGCTAACGCCCTACCCACTGTGCTATCACTCCAGCCCTATGCATTCATATGCATTTTAATATTAATGTTCACATTGACATAGTTATGTGTAGAACAATAACTGGAAATGAACATACCCAAATATTAAATGTAATTATTTGCTGAAATTATAGCTGAGATTTTTTCTTATTGATTTTTTCTAATTATATTTTCTTGACCTTTTTCTTGTATTTTCTAAATGTTCCACAATGAATATGGATTACTTTCATAAATCAAGGAAAAATTCTTTAGTCACTTGAATCACAATACAGTGTTATTAGATTACCTAACAAGCTCTTCTGAAATTTCCTGATAAAAATGTGTATCACATAAGTAATCCATACATGGTAGTCTGACGTAATATATGTCCATATAGAAATGTTGAGGACAAAATAGAAACATTATTCCAGGAAAAGCTTCTAAGCATCATCATAATAATATTTCCAGAAACGTTTATCTGTTTATTATTTTTCATTTATGATCTTCAGATCTAAGGTGAAAAATGTTATGTTCATCATGCATTGCATCTTATGGTAGTATTTATCATCAGCATTAATTTATGTAAGATTCTTTCTTTTTTATTAACTTTTTTACTCCCTTATTCACTTTTAGAATTCTACTCTTGAAAAACTATTTTCTTAAGAGTTCCTTCATACTTTTTTAAAAATGTGAATGAAATTACTGAAAATAACATTAATGGAATTTTAATTTATAGAACATTTTATTGGATATCTCTTTTTCTCACTCTGTACTGCATTTCAAATCTACACATGTTCTAAATTCTTCCTTCTATTTGTTTCTCAATACTCCATGATGAGTATCCATTAACTGCACTTTATTACTCCAATCTCCTAGTAAATGGACACCCAGGTAGTCACTAGCTCATTATGATTATATGATTGAAATGCTGTAATTATCAGTCTCATGTTTTTCTCCATTGCCAATTTAATAGCTCATACACAGTAGTAATTTAGCCTTAAGAGTACCAAATTGGTCTCTAATAGTGTAACTATTCTGATCTTTGGTACTAATCGGTGAGACTTTTCCACAACACACAACATTGTTTTACCCAAGATTCCTGCTTATTTCCCCCAGTCTGGTATAATTTCAATTCTCATTATTATTTTAATATGCATTTATCTTACTATTCTTGATTTTCATCATTTTTACATATACTCGTTGACTTTTAGATTTTCTTGTCCTGTAAGTTTTTTTATTCTTATAACTTGCTCAGTTTTCTGTGAAGATATTTTATTTAGTTGATGAAATGAATTACATATTATAAATATTAACTGCATCATAGTTTTGGAAAGACACTTTCTCTATTATTTAATCCAATATTGACTTTGTCCATAGTTTCTCTAATTATGATGCCATTTGTCATGTGATTCGGGCTTTTTTTTCTTTTTGGGTCACAAATTTGCGTGTCATCCTTACGCAGGGGCCATGCTAATCGTCTCTGTATCGTTCCAATTTTAGTATATGTGCTGCGGAGTGATAGCACAGCGGTTAGGGTGTTTGCCTTACATGCAGCCAACATGGCCGACCCGAGTTCGATTCCTCCGCCCCTCTCGGAGAGCCCGGCAAGCTACTGAGAGTATCTCGCCTGCAGGGCAGAGCCTGGCAAGCTATTCATGATGTATTCAATATGCCACACAGTAACAACAAGTCTCACGAAGGAGACGTTATTGGGCCCGCTCATCAATGAACAATGGGAGGACCATGACCGTGACCAATTTTGGGTCACACCGGCGATGCACAGGGGTTACTCATGGCTCTGCACTCAGGAATTATTCCTGGCGGTGATCAGGGGACCATATGGGATGCTGGGAATTGAACCCGGGTCGGCCACGTGCAAGGCAAACACCCTTCCCACTGTGCTATCGCTCCAGCCCCGTGATTCGGGCTTTTTAATAAGTCTTTCTTTGTCTCTAAATCACAAAGATATTTGAAATCAGTTTTTTCTTTCCTTTATTTTTTTAAAGTTCCTGTCAGATGGATAATGTGCCAAATACATAACAAGATTTCAGGGATGTATATGTCACATGAGAATGTGAACACCCAATCTTCATGTTTATAAATGGAGAAAGGGTCTGAAGTCAGTTTTTTTTTGTGACCTTTGCTTAGCCTATGCAACTCAAAGAACAAATAAAATTCAAAATTTCAAAAAAACAACACAGTACCTCATAGATCACATTTTCTGCCTGGTCTCTTTATTTCTGAACTAGAACCCCACAAGTGGTGGAAACATCTCTTATTCATGCTATCATTAGGGCTTTAAAGATAACCTCTGTTTTTCGATTCTCTTTCAATTTCATCTATTTCAAATACTTCTTGTTATGTAACACATTGCAAAAAAGTTACTGATGCAAAACAGTCATATTTTAGTGCTCACAGATTTAGTGTGTCAGAGATTTGAAGAGAGCACAGTAGGAAATGAATTATATTTGTGTTAGGATATTGGTGGTCTTAGAGACTGAAAATAACTTAGCAGCTGGAGGCTAGAATCATCTGAAGACCTGTTCATTCATAAGCCTGGCGCCTGTACTACAGTAAGTCAAATATTTTGTTCAGTTGGAGCTGTTTGCCAGAGAGTCCATAAGTAGCTTCTTGTATTTTGGCTTTCCTCAGAAAATGACAGCTTGAGAGGTGAAGGAAAGTTGACATAAGTGGAGGTATTGTGTTATATAATTGTGTTATATAATCATTGATTATATAATTTTCCTAAAGTAATTCATCAATGCCCAGCTAATATATCATATATTTTTTTAAAAGTATGCAATGACTTATTAACATTGATAGCAATTGCAGGGTTAGGATCAAATTCCTTAAAACGATGCCCTTTGTAATAAGTCCAATTTACTTTTCAGCCATTCTTTCCCCTTACTTTCAAATATATAGCCTTGAAAATTGAACTATATAATACTTATTGATGCTGACTTCTTATTTATAATATTTATTTATATAAAATTCACATATATTTATATATCACTTAATCACTTAACTTCCCGATAGTCGTTGATTTGCTTGAGCTGGTGCCAGTAACGTCTCCATTTGTCCCTGTCGTGTGCTAGTGTAGCCCAATGGCATCTGTTCGCTCTGGGAACATGAAGAGCTTCAAACCGATCGTTCATGATCTTGATGAAGAAGTCTGACCATCTGGTAGGTGGGCGGCCATGCAGTCTTTTGACATCCCGTGGAATCTAGTCGGTAACAGCTCTAGTCCAGCGGTCGTCTTTAAATCTCATTACGTGACCAGCCCATCTGATTTTTGACACCTTGGCAAATGAGACAGCGTCCCTGATTCTTGATCGTTGACGGAGGTCGGAACTCCGGATTCTTTCTCTCATCTGAGTGAAACGTGATATTCCAAGCATAGCTCTTTCAATTCCTCTTTGGGAGACCTGAATAGCGTTCTCATCCTGTTTGTGTAGGGCCCAGGTGTCTGAGGCATATGTTAATACAGGAAGAACAGTGGAATCAAAGAGATGTGCCCGGAGTCGGAGGTTCTTCATCCTCTTAGCTATTTCTCCGACGTTCTTGAAGGCATTCCAAGCCGCTCTCTTCCTCCTGCGCAGCTCGGGTGCAGGGTCATTTGTCATGTTGACCTCTCGACCTAGGTACACATAGCTGTTGCATTCAGAGATAGTCGTTCCCTGGAGAGCGAATGGGGCATCAGGAACAAGGCTGTTTCTCATAAACATTGTCTTCGTAAGATTCAGCTGTAGTCCTACCTTTCCACACTCACGGTCAAAGTCCGCCAGCATTTGTGCCACTTGGCTGATGTTTGGTGTTATTAAAACAACGTAATCAGCAAAGCGGAGGTGGTGTAGTTGCCGACCATCTATCTTCACTCCCATTCCTTCCCATTCCAGTCATCACATGATGTTCTCGAGGGTGACACTGAAGAGTTTCGGTGAAATGGTATCACCCTGCTGAACTCCTCTCTTGACATTAATGATTACTTCTTTGTAGAATGGTGAGATCCTGGTAGTGAATCTGCAATACAGCTCACGGAGGATCTTGATGTATTGGGCTTGAATGCCCTGATTGACTAGGGCTTCAATGACCGCTTCCATCTCAACAGAATCAAAGGCCTTCTTTAAATCAATGAACGTTAAACAGAGCGGCATCTTGAACTCCTGAGAAACCTCAGTGAGCTTGGTTATCGTGTGGATATGGTCGATAGTGCTGAATCCTTTGAGGAACCCAGCTTCCTTGCATAGTTGTCCTTCATCTAGTGTTCTGCCAATTCTATTCAGGATGACTCGAGTGAACAGCTTGTAGATGACAAACAGTAGGCCAATCGGGTGTTAAAATTCACCAGTCAATCATCATAATTCATCATATCAGTAAAAGAAAATATAGAAACATATGATCATATCAATAGATACATCAATAGAATGCATTTGACAAGATCTAGCACCCAGTTATGATGAAAACTCTCAGCAAAATTGGAATTGAAGATACCTTGCTCAATATAGTCAAAGCTACCACAAGCCCAAGGCAAGCATTATCCTCAATGGGGAAACTTAAAAGCCTTCCCTCTAAGTTCAGGGACAAGTCAAGGATGCCCACTCTCACAACTTCTATTCAATATAGTACTGGAAGAACTTGCCAAGCAGTTAGGGAAGAAAAAGTTATTAAGGGCATCTGAATAGGAAAGGAAAAAATCAAGCCCTCAATATTTGCAGATGACATGATACTATAGATAGAGAACCCTAAAGTCTCTACCAAGAAGCTCTTAGAAGCAATAGATTTGTATAGTAAAGTGGCAGGTTACAAAATCAATACTCAAAAGTCCATGGCTATCCTATATGCAAATAATTAAAGAGAAGAAAGTGATATGAAAAAGCAATCCCGTTCACAATCATGCCTCAGAAATTCAAGTACCTCAGAATCAGCTTAACAGTTAAATATAAAGGATCTGTACAAAGAAAAAAATGCTAGTTCAAGAAATAAAAGAGGAAACAAGGAAAGGAAAACACAGCTCCTGCTCATGGATTGGGAGAATTAACATTGTCAAAATGGCAGTACTCCCCAAAGCATTATGCAGATTCAATGTGACCCCTATAATGATACCCATGGCAATTTTCAAAGAAATTTATCAAACACTCCTGAAATTCATATGGCACAATATGCCCCCACAAATAGCTAAAGCAATCCTTGGGGGGAAAAGATGAAAGGCACCAACTTCCCCAACTACAAACTATACTACACGATCACGATTACGATCATCCTGTTGTCGATTTCCTCGAGCAGGCACCAGTAACGTCTCCTGCTTCCTAGCCCTGAGATTTTAAAAGAGCCATTTCAATGTTCTTTCAGGATTAGGAGAATGAGACCATCATTGTTACTGGTATTTGGCATATTGAATACGACATGGGAAGTTTGCCAGACTCTGCCGTGCGGGCAGAATACTTTTGGTAGCCTGCCAGGTTCTCCAAAGAAAAAATAAGATAATAAGATGTCACGTGGCCGCAAATGTGGCCACGCGCTTCCAGGAGCTGGTTTTTATGGTCTTGGCCATTGATGGGACCAACCCGACACTGGTGGGTGTGACACCTACCTGGTGGGTGTGACACCTACCTACTGGAAGATGGAGGGTCTAGGTGGAGAAGGCCCAGTCCCAATCCGAGTAGGCTTGGAGATCTCAGCCCCGGGCCCCGAATGCCTGGGTTCCTCTGCCAGTTCTTCCATGCATGAGGCCCATCCGGAAGTGTGGAGAGTGGTCCAGCATGGCCGTGGATGGCTCCAGAGGTCCTCAGCTGCTGGGGCTCTGCGCAGGGCAGGGGGGGAGAGAAATTCTCCTCGTTGAGGACATCCAGGCTCTGGGACAGGAGACTCTGCGCTGTTCTCCTCCAGGAGCTGGGTTTTATAGTCCCTGCGTCTTGGCCATTGATGGAACCAACTTGGCGCTGGCGGCAGCTAGTGGGTGTGATGCCTACCTACTGGAAGATGGAGGGTTTAGGTGGAGAAGGCCCAGTCCCAATCCGAGTGGGCTTGGAGATCTCAGCCTCAGGACCCGCATGCCTGGGTTCCTCTGCCAGTTCTTTCATGAATGAGGCATGTCCGGATATGTGGAGAGTGGTTCCAGCATGGCCGTGGCTGGCTCTGGAGGTCCTCAGCTGCTGGGGCTCTGCTCGGTGTGGGGTGGGGGAGAGAAACTCAACCCTCCCCCTGCACTGGTCCCCAGTGAGGACAGCCAGGCATGGGGGCAGGAGACTCTATACTATACTAAACTATACTACAACATGGTAATAATTAAAACAGCCTGATGTTGGAATAAAGACAGACCTTCAGAGCAATGGAATAGGGTTGAATATCCTGACACACACCCTCAAATGTATGATCATTTAATCTTTGGTAAAGGAGCAATAAATATGAAGTGGAGCAAGGAAAGCCTCTTTAACAAGTGGTGCTGGGTAAGCTGGATAGCTACATTCATAAAATAGGCTCAGGTATCTCTATAACACCATGCACAAAAGTCAGATCAAAATAGATTGAAGATTCTCAACATCAGACCAGCATCCATTAGGTACATTGAAGAAAAGGTCAGCAAAACCCTCCACAATATTGAAGCTAAAGGTATCTTCAAGGAAGAAACACCATTGACCAAGTAAGTGAAAGCAAAGATAAACAAATGGGACTACCTTGAACTAAAAAACTTCTGTACCTCAGAAGGAACAGTGACCAAGATACAAAGACAGCCTATGAAATGGGAAATGTTATTACCCAATACTCTCTTTATAAGGGGTTTATATCAAAGATATACCAGGCACTGGTTCAACTCTTCAAGAAAAAAAAAGCACTGAACCCCATGGGGTGATGAAATGAACAGAAACTTTATCTAAGAAGATATTCAAATGGCCAAAAGGCACATGAAAGAATGTTCTTCATCACTAATCATGAGGGAGATGCATATCAAAGCAACAATGAGATATCATCTCACACCACAAAGACTGGCATACATCCAAAAGAACAAGAGCAACCAGTGTTGGCATGGATGTGGGGAGAAATGGACTCTCCTTCATTGTTGGTGGCAATGCCGACTGGTCCAGCCTTTTTGTAAAATAATTATGGACATTCCTCT